GACCTATCGACAACAAACCAACCATAATTTATGGAAAATATGAAAATGTTACCTTTCATCTTGCAGCCTCTTGAGTTCTACCATTTCCAGTTCAAAACGAAGATTACTGTTTTCGCATAACAACAAATCTCTTTCACTAGCGACACCGTCTAATTCTCTTTTCAGACGAATAATTTGTTCCTGTTGTTCCCGAATTATGGCATCTCTTTGTGACAACAGGGAATTAATATCGATATCTGATCCGGCCATTGTAGACCTCCCACTATTGTTATTATCACGAAAAAGAGTTATCGAGAAGATTAGATGAAACACATTACAGTCTTATTGTATAAACACACTGGACTATCACAAACTGCATTCAATGTAAACATTTTGAATTTATCAAGGAAACAAGATACCGATAACACGATAACAGCTAAAAAATCATCATCAGAAAAAATCGAAGGCAGAAGTAATCTGTTCTGAATGAACACAGAACACGAAGTCACGAACGACTAGAGACGAAATTGACATCTGACAACAGTGACAGCTGCAACTGCACAAGAAAGTCATAAAACCGCAAGAACGATAGACCATTAAAACCGTATCAACACGGAACTGCAAGATTATTGGACCTATTAGCGACAAGCGTCTACAAACACCGGAGGCTCTCTGAATCCGACGATGTCCGATCATGGTCGGACGTCGCTGCTGATGCAGAGCACGCGCCAAATTCAAAAACATAACAATAATAATCCAAGAGTATCAAGTGATCGAGTGTAATGTTTTGGAATAATGATGCAAATAAGGTGGCTATAATTGACCTTAGATGCAAAGTATTTTTTTCTTTCCGAATTTACCTTGAGAAACAAATTATTGCGTGAGCTATACATTGCAAAGGCCTCACATGTTTTTTTTCATATCAGGACAAAATTGACAAAATAAACCCAACTTATGGACCTACTCATTAATTTATTGTTTTTGGTGAATACATTAGATTTATTGCGATATTATTGGCGTCCATAATCATCTGGATGGATTAATTCATTACTTAGTCGTTTATTATTATAGAAACAAGGTTTGTAGAGCTGATGATAATTTGTCAAAATAATCATCAGCTCTACCAATCTTGAATAGAAAATAAGCGTACGTCATCTATCGGAGTATCTGAAAGCTGCCAAAGCGGCCTGTTACTTTGTTTTCATTGGTTCACATTTGTTTTTGCTCATATCAATCAACGTTATTGGTCACATCCATCAAAACAAACCTCTCAAAAGTGGTTAAATGTTGCCGTCATGTGGGGCGACGTGTTATTTTCTATCGCGAATTCCTCATTATATTAGTCTGAGAGTAACTCTATGAAGGGTGCGTAGCGCGATGCCCAATTCCCACGATTCCCAATTCTCACCATGCCCATCTTTCTTAGACTCCCAAAATGCTCACTTTTCATACATTTCCACGATGCTCAATTCAGTAGTCAATTTCTCAAAAATATTTATAGCCTCAAACGCTCAAATCATCAAACTTCGACGTTCTTCCACTCCTCCACTGGTTTTCCTGGTTCGAACACGGTTCGAACCGTTCATTTAGAAGTTTTTGAACCGGAATGAACCGTATTACTTGGTGACGTCATAACTTGCGCAAGAAAATGCCTGATTTCAAATCGTTTTGAACACGGTTTCAACAAGAAAAAACAACTAATACATCAATCAACGTTATTGGTCACATCCATCAAAACAAACCTCTCAAAAGTGGTTAAATGGTGCCGTCATGTGGGGCGACGTGTTATTTTCTATCGCGAATTCCTCATTATATTAGTCTGAGAGTAACTCTATGAAGGGTGCGTAGCGCGATGCCCAATTCCCACGATTCCCAATTCTCACCATGCCCACCTTTCTTGGACTCCCAAAATGCTCACTTTTCATACATTTCCACGATGCTCAATTCTCACCATGCCCACTTTTCATACATTCCAACGATACCCAATTCCCACCACTCCCACCTTCATTATGGTGTTAGTCCAAAGAAGGTGGGCATGATGGGAATTGGGCATCTTAGAAACTGGGCATCGTAGGAATATATGAAAAGTGAGCATGGTGGGAATCTAAGGAAGGTGGGCATGGTGGGAATTGTGCATTGTATGAATTGGGCACCGTGCGAATCTATGAAAAGTATGGGCATGGTAGGAATCTTGTGTTTTCTGAATTCTTCTCTTCACCTGGCAACGTTGCGCTCTTCGGCAATCTTCGTAATCGTCGACGTGAAGGTGGGCATCGTAAGCAGAGATAAGTAAGAATTGGGCATCGTGGGATGCTCCCCTATGTTTTATATGTCTCCATTGTCTTCTGTCAAAATTGTCAAACGAGCAAACGGTAAGAACAAGAACGATGGTTTTCAGTGTTGTCAAATAAATATTTTATATTAACGAATAAATTTGCATTATGTGTATTTTACGAATATCATCGATTACCTATATGGAGAATATCTATAATTTCAAATGATTATCGATTCTATTCATTCGAAAGGCTTGTCATGAGCACCTGACATAACCCTCAAAAATTGAGAAAAGTATGCACGATACAGAATTATAGGTACACTTGGCAACTATGCACAATAAAAATCCACAATTTACCTCATTTTTACTTGTTGATAGCTTGGTCAAGTAATGAAATATAAATAGTTCAAAATACCTATCTAGGGTTGCCATCCGTCCGGATTTCCCCGGACATGTCCGGGTTTTAGAGGTGTCCGGGGACGTCCGGGCGGGTTTTGATAAATTGTCCGGATTTTCGTCAGTTCAAACCACTGACATAAACTATTATCATGTCAGTGTTCAGTGAAAGTTTGCTCAAAAATTGAAAATTTGTAGATTTGGTATTATTTATGTGACTTATATAGTTTTGTTTCAAACTTTGATTGGTTTATTTTTTGTTCAAAAATGGTTTTGAGTTTTCATTCGATTTGTGCTACAACGAATATGCAGGTGATATACCTGAATTATAGTGATATCTAGAGTGATATTCACCATTCACCGTTGAACTCATTCATATGTATATGAAAATGGAATTACAAAAAATGATCCGAGTTTTCAAAATTCCCGCTGTCCGGATTTTGTCCGGATTTTCAAGTAGCCTTGTCCTGGTTTTCACATTTTAGAGATGGCAAATGTTCCAATGTAATCCGTATGGAAACCAACTTCCCGCTGTATTAATGTCCCCATCATCTATCGGTAGGTTTTTGAACTAAAAAGTCAGAGATGTTTTAAGATCGAGGAGTCGAGCAGAGTCGAGGATCAAATACTAAGGTACAGATTCCTAGATATGCTTTTATACCGGCTATAGGTTCCTACCTACACTTTTCTGCGGTGAAGCGGACCACGGTATTTGGAGTTGGAGCATGTTTGGAGTGTTCATCGTCTGTTTATAAACAAATATTCTAGACGTTCTAGCGGTTTCTCTTGCCCCTTCCTTCACTCATGATCCTTATGTGTAAATATTGTAAATAAACATTGTTACGTCACGAGAATCATACTTTACGGTGTTGTCAGCTCGAACAATAGTTTTCAATAATGTCTGAACTCGGAACGTTGATAAACAACAATTAAACAATAATAGAATTAAAATAACGTACTTTCATGTCGTTGTCCGGTCGCTAATAAGATGTAATCTGTCACTCTTGATATGGATTGAAATTTGTTAATTGAACTCCATTTACAAACCTTTTATCAAACACTCAGTATTCAAACATCAAATATATTAATCAGGAATTTTCCTACTGTTTAAAAAAGTGCTCATTCCCGAAGAATGTTCCTTTTTTATCAGTCTCAATACATCACTAAAAAACAGTATCATGCCATGTTCCGAATTCAACTGTCGGTAGGGTCAGTATAGTACCACTGAGACACTGCTAAAATTCGGCTGTTCCGAAATATTTCAGTATTCACAGTGAAATTGCTTCTGCTGAAAGCTGAAATTCGGAACAAATTCTACTGCAGAGTGAGCTGTGGACCAGCAACTATACACTGTGTGATTCAGGTTTTGAGGAACAAACTGAAATGAGTGATAGATCTCATCATTTTAATCAACAAAGTTTTTATAAACATGAGTCCGATCTCGATCTGCAGCGGAACTACAGGGTGCCGAATTTTATTTATATTTTTTTATTAATCAAAATATCTCGCTCACTTTTGGAGATATCATTTTGAAATTTGGTGTGGATAATGGGTATGTTTATTTATCTCGAAAACGGGTTGTTTCTCGGAGAAAATTGAAGCGCAAAGAAGGCCTCTCAATTGAAGGATCCAGCCAATTTGGCAACTAAAAGATGCCAGAGGGGGGAGGGGGGATATAGAAGCCCTCCATCCCCGAAAATGTATAACCCTATAGATATAAAAAATCTGGCACTAGACTGACGCTGCCGACAGTTGAATTCGGAACATAGCATGTGTCTATTGTTTAGTGACCTGAATCACCCTGTATATTAATTTTAGAAGGATTTCCATCATGATGGCATGGCAAATCAATGACTAATCGAGCAAATCAGCTTTGAAAGTTATTGAGCAGAATATGCCCTGAAAATATATTCGTTTCAATATTGACAGATTGCTTTCGAGAAATAGTATAATGTACAGCTTCCTTCACTGTAAGTACTGAACTATTTCGGAACATCCGAATTTCAGCAGTGTCAGTAGCACTACTGACACTACCGACAGGTGAATTCGGAACATAGGCATGGCTACTGCAGTAATTTCAGCAGAAATCTGAGCCAAACATATTCAGTGTCTTCTGCTCTCACTGCTCACTTTCAGTGACATTCTTAATTTCGGAACAAATAATCAGTAGATTCAGTACTGAGAGTTGAATTCGGAACATTGCCAGACCAATAGCCATACCAGACTATTGCGCAGATTTCGTGAAATAGTTTATGACTTGGCAACAGCTAAGTTCCATCGAGCATCTTGAGTGAGCACTATCTAGGATAACCTTGAATTATTTTAGATAATTGGTTAGATTATACCTCATGACCATTAACGGAGCATAGCACTCCCGAAAGTCGCAAATAAAAAATAACACTGTTTTATATTTCAACAACTTTCCACGCTTCGGACCTCAACCTCACATTGTAGTTTGTTGTGTAAACAAAAAAGGTACAGTCAGTGTGATAGTGATATTGCCACGTTACAACAACATCAATACATTTTAAAACGGAATTGTTTTGATTTGTATGTAAAACGACTGTATTTAGTGTATTGTTGACGTATGTTATGTGAAAGCACCAGACAAGCATAGTTGAAGAGGTTGTTTACTCTCTACCAGAATCTCACTTCCACGTTATACAGAGAAGTCTGTTATTAATTTTTAGTGAATTAGCGTCTGCGAATCCTGTTCTTGAAATAGGCCGGATGTTTATCAACGGTTTTGGTAACAGTAACAGCAGGTTGATGCCAGAAATGCCTTCAGCGGAAAGGTGTACTATGACGTCTGGCACTCGATCTGATTTCAATATTTCCTCTAGAGAGATAGAAAGTTTGGTTTTGGAGATAAAGGAAAACCTCAGGCTCTCCACTGGATCAACCACTATCCCTTACCAGGCTCTACCACGCAGTCAGTGTTCAAGGAAATCATCTAGAGCATCTCCTTATAGTAGGCCTGTGATTTGTTATAAGTGTGGACTTTATGGACCAAATTGTTGTTTGAGATCTAAAAGGAAACAGCCAGAAATGACAAGTAATGAAGACCCATATGAGTTCCTTCAAAAATTATTGAAAGACGGGAGTCTGGTTAATGAAGCTGTGAAAAGAGTCCAACGAGGATTTACCCCAAAGGAGGATTTTTATTATGATTCCGATGATGATTGTAGAAGCCCTATCTTTCGATTTATACCCAAAGAGAACTAGATTTGACTTGAATAATTCTAAGTAATTTATTGTTCCTGTACTGTAAGTGATGTGAAAGTTGTCTCAGATGAATAGCCAAATGAAAAAAGTAGTACATAATATAGTGAATAATGAGCATCAATTTCTTTCAAAAATTCAATTTGGCTTCTGAAACCTCTCCATAATTCCTAGTATTATTTCGAATAGTAGCCCTGGAGCATGCATACTATTAGGGCTCACAAAATAAAATGATGTCTGTGATTCTGGCTCAGATTCTGTTGAAGATTTGTGATGTGTATCAAAAGCTTGATAGTTTTCTTTGATTCAAATATTATATAGGGTCACTGACTAATGACTAAAGTGATCTGTAGTCAATGGTAGTTTGGTTTTATGATTTATTATGAATGTATAACTATAATTCAAGTATTTTGTTAGAAAATCTTGAGTAATTTGAATAAATCCTTATTTTATACAGTTAGTAATATTCATTTTGTATAAGGAATAAATGATAAAAGGATATAGTGAGACCTACCCACCTAAATCAGAATGAGTAAAGGCATATCTAGGTAATATCTCACCTCTACTATATCATAGTGGTTATATATCAGTGTTGTTCAATAGAAAAGTGAACATTCCTAAACTATACATCAAAAGTTTATTTTGACATAAATAGGTAGGTAGTTCAAAAAGTTGTTATTTTCGCAATAGTCTGGAAATAGAAAAAAATATCAGTTATCTACCTGTACTCCTGTAGAATGAGGTTTGTACACACTAGTTAAATTTATACACCATGATGTATATTGACCATTCCATAGTAGTATTGGATGCAATTATCCTTCAATTAAAATCGCTAGACAATAAAAATCAGCACCTTCCAAATACAATCTGGCTCTAGATGAAGTTTATATAGTATTCCTTTGGATTGGTCACAGTGTATGTTATGCTCAACTTTGGATTTTCCCGCGCTTTGTTATGAAATATCTATAGAAAACCAAAATATCATGAATTTTAATAATTATTTGAAATATGTACCAAGCTCTTGTAGACTTAGAGGATCAAAGGGGTTGTGCCAGTGAACTAGTTCGCAGACTAATAAGTATTGTGATTGATTGAGTAGGCAAAACTTATCAGTAGGTAATGTATTTAATTTTGAAATGCAATACTGATGATTTGCTCATTTAGGTATCATGTCCGGATATTCGCGATGGAAAATAACACTTTGCCCCATCTGACGGTAACAACTAGAACACTTCTGAGCGGTTCGTTTTGATGCTATACCAGAGATTAGCCACCCACAGAACAAGATGCGCACTTCCCTGTTAAAAATTGGAAAGATTTTTCAAGAAGGTTTTGGAAACAAAATGTAGATGGCGCGTCCATCGTCCGTCGTTTTTTGAAATTCAAAATAACCTGAAATCTCTAAATCATAGCAAAAGAAAATTTCTCTCAGTTCTATTTTTTCAGCAGTGCGGATCGATGAAATAAACTCCATCCACTTCAAATAAAACAAATATATTTCCCAAGGTTGGTGGAAATGATGATTATTTCTACCAACCTTGTATAGTTCCGGATGTTGTTGCCATCTATTAGATCCAGTTGGAACTATAATTCGTCACGTGACCCACAAACAAAAAACAGATGAGAACCAATGGAAACATAGTAAACTGGCCGCTTCGACAGCTTTCAAGAACTCCGATAGATGACGTACGCTTATTTTCTATCGCGAATTGCGAATACTGCGTTCTTTATTGGGAATTGGTTCATCAAAAAATGTAACTTTTTCATTTTTTACGATTTTATGTCGAAACTACTGGCAACATCGTGAATAAATTTTGTATGAATGTGTTTTGGAGCACATCGCATGAATTTGTTTTCATTTTTGACTCATAGAGGGCGCTAGCTCGTTACCATCGAGACAAAAACGGTTGGTCAAGGTTGGTAGAACCAGAGATTATACAGACCATAGATAAACACTGTATATGGCATGAGAGGCAACGTCTTTCGAGTTGTGAATGTGTTTCAACAGATGTCGCTGTCTATCGTGGATAGAATATTGAAGCTGTAGTAAAATCGATATTTACTACGTCCATTCACTGGTATTTACATCGTTGCCAAGACTCCTACTATATTGGTAGTGCTAATTTATTATATCTGAGATGACCGAGACCAGCCGAGACGATGATTATTTTCAAGGAGAGTTTGGATTCACGCCGTGACTACTTGAAAATATTGACATTTATTTATGAAATACGAATAATAATTAATTTATATTTCAAAATTACGAATTATCTAGGTACATTAATTATCTATATAAAAGTAAGTCCAATATATTTGATTATTTTCGGATTTCTCTTAGTCCGGAATGGGATATTAAAAAGTATTAAAATTCGTGAAAATTAGAAAATTCAAGATGGCGGATCCGATATGACGGACGATCATGTAATCATGATCCGATTCTATTCAATATTTTTTGTATCTGGGGGTTTGCGGGGTCGGAGATTATGATTCTTTCGACAAAATTAGAGAGTTAAAGATGGCGGAACCAATATGGCGGACAAGTTTTTTTAATATTATGATCCGATTCTATTCAAAATTGGTATCTGGAGGTTTTTGGGGCCGAAGATTATGATCCTTTGGTCAAAATAAGGAAATACAAGATGGCGGAACCAATATATGGCGGACGAGTCTCGTAATTATGATTTGATTATCTTCAAAATTTTTATCTGGGGGCTTTCGGGGTCGAAGATTATGATTCTTTTGTCAAAATTAGGAAATTCAAGATGGCGGACGAGTTTTGTAGTTATGATCCGATTCTATTCAATATTTGTATCTGGGGGTTTGCGGGGTCGGAGATTATGATTCTTTCGACAAAATTAGAGAGTTAAAGATGGCGGAACCAATATGGCGGACAAGTTTTTTCAATATTATGATCCGATTCTAGTCAAAATTGGCATCTGGAGGTTTTTGGGGTCGAAGATTATGATCATTTGGTCAAAATAAGGAAATACAAGATGGCGGAACCAATATAGGGCGGACGAGTTTCGTAATTATGATTTGATTATCTTCAAAATTTGTATCTGGGGGCTTTCGGGGTCGAAGATTATGATTCTTTCGTCAAAATTAGGAAATTCAAGATGGCGGACGAGTTTTGTAGTTATGATCCGATTCTATTCAAAATTGATACCTGAAGGTTTTCGGGGTCGAAGATTATGATTCTTCAGTCAAAATCAGGAAAAACAAGATGGCGGAACCAATATATGGCGGACTAGTTTTGTAATTATGATCCGATTCTATTAAAAATGTATCTGAAGGTTTTCGCGGGGTCGGAGATTATGATTCTTTCATGAAAATTAGGAAATACAAGATGGCGGACGAGTTTTGTAATTATGATCCGATTCTATTCAGAATTTGTATTTGGGAGTTTTCGGGGTCGGAGATTATGATTCTTCCGTAAAAATTAGTAAATTCAAGATGGCAGAACCAATTTGGAGACGAGTTTTGTAATTATGATCCGATTCTATTCCACAAACAAATTCATCTATTCATTGATCATTTTCGGAAAAGAACAAATGTTTCTATGCACGAAATATTTAATTACTCCTGTGGTTATGAATGAAAGCTGAAAACACCAAATTAGGTACATACAATTACTTCAAACGATAAATATAGTGTCTGTCATACACATTCAAAACATGCCCAAGCTTATAGTTTAAGTGTAATAGGTAGGTGTGAGAAACAAATGTAAAAGAAAACTTTCGAATCACTTGGTATTTATTTCAGAAAAAGTCTCAAATATGAAAATAAAGAGATTTAAGTAACATATATCTAAAATGGCTGGCTAGGTCGGAGTCACGTGACTTTCACTAGATGTTAAAAGTAGGAATTTTTCAAATCAATCATTTAAAGTACGCTTACTCGTTTGAATTTCAAAAACATTCACTACGCGAAATTATTTCTTTCCCGATTTTACACATTCCTCTCAAATTGGAATGTTCTATTGCAACATTTAGTTTTTGGTATTTTTAAATTTTCTGGTATGAAACAGTTTTGTCGAAGTAACAACCTTCAAATTACAGAAATTGGGGTGTGTATAATTTGCGGACTGGCTATTTCCAGCAAATAAATCGTTGTTTTTAATTGCATATCTGGATTCAGTTTATTGAACTACACGATAAAAAGTTTCTGATTTTGTCACTGACCTCCCTGGGGAGCACTTTAATCGTGTGTTTTTTTATAAAATCTTGCGGACTGGGTATTTTCGCAAGTCAAATCAATTTTACCAAAAATAGATTTATCTCATGAAAATACACGATGAAAAGTTTCCTGAAATTGTTTTCTAGCCCCCCTGGGGAGCACTTTACCCGTGTGTTTTTTCATAAAATCTTCCGGTATGTTTACATTTTCATATTTCAAATATGCGATACTGACAATACTGAAAAATGTGATATTATTTCTGTTGTTACCAAATTTATTTATTTTTGTTTTGATGTTATACATTTTTTATGTTCTGGTTCCCACGAAAAGGGATATCCTGTAATCGAGCCTGTAATGTTCAGAGAACATCGTGAGAACCAAGGGAAATAAGGTAGGAATTGGTGTTCTCTCTTTCTCTCATCTATGATAGGATGTTTTTTTTGTACCCTATTTTGCTTATTCAAATGACGCCTCATCAGCGTCCGCAAGATTTTATGAAAAAAACACACGAGTAAAGTGCTCCCCGGGGGGCTAGGGAAAAAGTTTAGAAACTACTCATCGTGTATGCTCATGGAATAAATCGATTTTCGAGAATATTGAGATGATTTGACTCACAAAAGTACCCAGATTTTATGAAAAAACGAACGAGTAAAGTGCTCCCAATGAAGGCTTGCGAAAAATTTTAAAAAAATTTTAAACCTGTATTTTAGTGAGATAAATCGATTTTTGAGAAAATTGAGATGACTTGACTGGTAAAAATACCCAGCCCACAAGATTTTATGAAAAAACACACGAGTAAAGTGCTCCCCAGGGGGGCTAGGGAGAAACTTTAAAAACTATTCATCGTGTAAGCTAATGGGATGAATCGATTTTTGAGAAAATTGAGATGATTTTATTGTTAAAAATACCCAGTCCGCAAGATTTTATGAAAAAATAAACGAGTAAAGTGCTCCCAGGGGGGCTGGGAAAAAATTTCGTATACTTTTTATCGTTTAGGTCAATGAGCTCAATCCAGATATGAAATGAAAACAACGATTTGTTTACTGGAAAAAGCCAGTCCGCAGCATTTTTTCCAGTCCGCCAATTATACACACCCCAGAAAATGCGTTCAAACTTGGAACAAATGTGTAAAATCTAAATAGACACAAACTTTCTGAAGACACTGTATATTATATTCTAGAGATTATTTGAAGTGCTGTAATGTTTTCAGTTTTTTGCTTAAAAAAAGCATGATATCAATAATTGATCGTTTCGCATTTTCTATCGTCCAGTAATAGTGCAATGTGAAAATGGAATAGGTAGGTACCAAAAAA